CGTTGGTCGCCCTCCCCATAAGTTTGCCACCCCCGTGTCTGTGCTTCCGCTCGCCGAGCGCTATCTGCGCGTAACCAGCCGGCCACTGTCCAGGAGCTCGCTTCCTGTGATGGGTTATCCGCCCTCAGCACGCTCGCTGCCCTCGTGTCCGGCCGCTCGTCCACCCACGGCACGCTCCATGTTCGCCTATCAGGCCGCCCGTCTGCGGCTTCCTCACTGCCTCAGCAGCCGGACATCCACCCAACGCACACTAGCCATCCCCTTCGATCTGGATCTGAGCACAGAGGCTATGGTTAGGCGCGAGAAATATGCAATTGAGCAGATAAGCACGGGAAGTAAGCAATCGATGCCACGGGAGTGACGAAGCTGGGCTTAATCGCCGGATTCGGTGGCCAGGATTGGGAAATTTAGGGTGGCGGAGGCGGATGTGATAAGGTTCGCGAGAGGAATTGGACATCGGAAGTTTCTCGCACGAAGGGTCACGGGAAGGTTGAGGAGGAGTAATTTTTTTATTCAATGGGACCCATCTGTATTTTCTATCCCGTCCTTAGCCATTATGAAATTTTACATAGACTAATGTCACTCGTGGTGGATCCTTTTACATTGTTGGTGCCCTTAACGGATCTCCTGCTGCCGTACAAAAATGGTAGCACGCGACATCTATGATGGCTCACTTGCAGCTAGCTAGCAATGGATGCTACCAATTCCCTGGTAGTGCTACACCTCCTAAGGTCATCTCGGTCGAGGCCCGTGGCAACGCGGGCCACCGGAATAGGCCACCATCGTAGTGTGCTTGTGCGGATCGAGTGCGAGCAGGTCGACGATGTTCGTGTTCCCGACGACGACAGCTCATTGTTTGCGACGCCATCTGCCTCCAGCCTCTCTACGCCACTACGGATCATATGGCCGGCCGTCGAGCACCTCGTCACAGGCCACCTTCGGGAAGTAGAATCACCACCGGGACTCACCTGAGCAGCTAGGTACCCGTCATGCCCCCGCGGAGTTGGAACGAGCATGCGCGGAAAACACGGAATGGAGTATTTGGTATTTTAGGGAGCTCTCTTGGAGCCAGGTTTCTTCTTATTTTAGCAAAATTGAGTAGGATAGACATGGTGTTGGAGTTGCTCTAGTGAGGTTTTTCTTTATAAGAGTACTAGGTAGCGTGTCCATACGTTGCTACGGGACAACTAAATCTTTTGTACTAAAAACACACGGATCGCACGATAAAATAACAATACTGTTAAATTAAATACCGACGTCAAAGTGACATTTAATTCAAAAAACAAAGTTCGTGAAATTAATACAGTCATGGAGAGCGCGACGTCGCAGGCTCACAAATTCTACTGTATAGACTTTTTCGTGATACGGCTAAGATAATATTTTATATCGACAAAAAGAATTATACGATATCTATTTCTTTCATGCGCCAATAAATCCATGAATAAGTTTCGCTGCATCTCTATATAATCATGTACACACAGGTTCAAGTATATATGCAAATAGGTTCGTGCCATTGCGTTGCTACGGGACAGCTAAACTTTTATACTAAAAACACACGGATCGCACGATAAGATAATAATACTGTAAAAGTATATGACCGACGTTAAAGTGACATTTAATCTAAAAAGCTAAGTTCGTGAAATTTACACAGTCACAGAGAGCGTGGCGTCGCAGACTCATAAACTCTACTATGTAGATCTTTTCGTGATACGGCTAAGATCATTTTTTATACCGGCAGGAAGAGATTTCCGATATCTATTTCTTTCGTGCGCCAACAAATCCACGAATAAGTTCCACCACATCTCCATACCATCCTGTACATGGTGCTGGCAAGCGAATTAGCCACAACTTATGTAATTAGTTTTATAATTAGCTCATGTTTAGTCCTCCTAATTGATATCTAAAAATTCAATGTGACAGGGCCTAAAGTTTAGTCCTGGGATCCAAACACCCTCTGGCTTTCGACTCCTGCTGGCTGCTCACTTGCACCACATACCTATGTGTCTGCACGTATATACTCCAATGCCAGAACGTCTAAGATGGTCTTTATTGTCCACCCTTTAAAAATATCATAACTTTAAGGTTGCCATTTGTGTATGCTATAGGATTAGGATGATTTATACTGATCTATGAGGGTGTCCATGAGAGTCAAAATTTTTGATGACATTATGATGTCCAAGCTTACCAATCAGACAGAGACGAACTTGATTGTTAAAACATTTTCAACACTGCTTTCATATACTCCCTCTGTTCCAAAATAGAATTCATTCTCGCTTCTAAAAAGTTAATTTTTTTTAACTTCGACCAATTATATATAAAAGAATATTAATATTTATAATACATAATTAGTATCATTACATAGAACATTAAATATATTTTCATAATAAACTTATTTGGAGATATAAATGTTGCACGTTTTTTTTACAAACTTAGTCAAAGTTAAGAAAGTTTGACCTACACGCATCCCATAACGACTTATATTTTGGGGCAGAGGAAGTATATGCTAATGGGAGTAGACAACTGAAAGTCGTGATGAACACAACAATACTTTCATATTATGGCCCCGTTCGCTGATATGAACTTTGGCTGAAACTGGCTAAAAAACACTGTTCCGGCTGAATTGTTGTGAGAGAAAAACATTGTTCCGGTTGAAAAAAACAAGCTGAATAAGCCAAATTTAAGACAAGCGAACGGGGCCTATATGGTAATAGAAGCACGAAAAAATGCAAGGGAATGGACCTATATACTAATGGTGGGAATATTCGTTTAGGAAATTATAGAAGGTTCACCAGTCTCATCATTTATAACCTGCACATCTTGCATGATTGTTTCCTTCCATGCATGATTATTGTTTCCTTCCATGTATATGGCCTCAGGTAATCGATTTGTTTTCTTCAAAGCAGACGGTGATCGCGGGGATGACAATTTCCTTTTCTCGCTCGCTCCTTTCCTTTTCTTGCTCGACCGTTGAACAGCGTGGGAGGTGGGATCGATCGCATGGGTGGCAGACGGACGAACCGAGGCAATTGTCGCACCAAAACAGTGTCCACACTTTGTTTTTTTTTTGTTGTAGAAGATAAGATAAGATAAGATAAGATAAGATTTGTACATGGCTCATGGCTGTGACGGTGCGGCCTATACCCATCGAAGCATTAAATTTGTAGAAAACGAGGTCAAGCATTAAATTTGTATATGGCTCATGGCTGTAGACATTTTGAAAGATTTGATAAGGAATTTGACAAGAAAATTTGAGACAATTTGCGTACATTCAAATCTGAGTATTTTCTTTTAAAAATGAAAAATTGAAAGCATTTTAACATCATGATGACAGAAAATTAACAGAAAAATGATTCTCATTGTTCAAATCAAGCTTATCGATTCCATTCCGTGCATTATTCCCCTTACCGTCAATCCCAGTCCTAGTGATGGGTATTCAAATGAGTATTTCTTCTATAATAATCCTGTTGCATCTTGGTAGATCTTGGTAACAAGGAAATCAAGGAAACAATCTGATTTTCAGTAGAAATCAAGAAAACGAGAAACATGATTTCTTCCCAATACACCTGAGATGCAAAGAATTAAGGGAAAGAGTGAGATTGACCGTAGCTCCTTGAAGTTATTTGCAGGTGCCATATAGGTTTCTAAAGTTTCAAAATATATTTTTAGGTCTCTGAAGTTAGTTCGGGTCTCATCAGGTCTAAACGGACATTTAACCATCCTGGCAACTGACATGACATGCTGGCTCAGCGCCTTATATGGATCTGTCAGCGACAAGGCTCAATCTTAGAAAAATATCTTATCTTTTTCGTATGATCTCAGATGAACATTATTATATTTGAAAATTATAGCCATTGATGAGATCTACAATTTTCTAATTTTAAGTTTTTTTATTTAAGATCATTAAGATGCTCAAAAAATATTATAAAGTTTCAACAACATATTAATCGTGTATCAAACTTGTAAAACGATATCTTTCTCATATGGTGTCAAATAAAGATACTCTGTATATGAAAATTGTAACTCTCGATGAGATCTATGAATTTATAATTTTATCATTTTAGTCATTAAGATGGTTAAAAAGTAATACAAAGTTTTAGTAGCATATTAATCGTGTATCAGGTCTTGTTGCCTTAGAAAAATAATACAGTGTATGATATCAGTTAAAGATACTTTTTATATAAAAGTTGTAGCGCTTGAATTAAAGTGGCACATATGGTAGCTTTTAAACTTCTCTTCTGGCTAGCCTGTTCGGTTGGCTGATTCGTTTCGTGGCTGGTCTATGAAGAAGTACTGTTAACTGGTTTGTGCTGAAAATTTACGATCGTTTACAACAAGCCACAGCCAAACGAACAGGCTGTATATAGAAATGTGATGTGACATGAGATGTAACGTAGTATTTGTTCTTTTTTTTTGGTTAATTTATTGAAAACTTTTCAAGGCTATTCGTCCAGATTCGGGAATAGAATATCTAAAACTCATGGGTCCTATTGTTTCTCAGACCTGAAGTACAACTAATCATATGTGCCGACCAAAGCTGGTTGTTGTTATACTCGGAGTCCAGAAATAAGAGGGTTTGGTGGAATAGGAGGTATGTCAAACGAGAAAGTTCGAGGCAAAATGGAGATAGACGAGTAGCTGCAATGAAATTCAAAGCCATAGCAGGAAGCGCTCAAAGATAAAGCTATGCTCAAGTCAGAAACGGTCAGACAAGCAGAAAAAAACGCGGAATCCGCCAAAAGATAAAGCTAGGCTCAAGTTCGTCCACGGTCAGACAAGCAGAACACAACGCGGAATCCGCCAAAGATAAAGCTAGGCTCAAGTTCGTCCACGTATATTGCTTGAATCGGTGAATCAAGCGCGCTCCCGATACTATTTATCCAGAGGCTGATGGATCGATAGTTCGACATTATCTGCGTGCTACTCTTTGATTAGCCTAGCCAGCCCTATCTAGTGTAGGACACCTCCCCGCCGCCACACACACACACACACACACACTGGCGATGATGCTTCCGGAAGCGGCACTGCTGCTGGCAACGGTATTGCAGCTCTCCTCGGCGGCATCGTCCCAGGCTGGAGGCGCAGCAGGATGGGGACGACCGCCGGCGAGCTGCCCAACCACCTGCGGCAACGTTAGCGTGCCGTACCCTTTCGGCATCCGCGACGGCTGCTCCCTCCCTTTCCCTGGCTTTAACCTCACCTGCGACCAAACGCGGCATCCGCCGAGGCTGCTGCTCGGCGACGGCGGCACCCTCCAGATCGTGGAGATCTCGCTGGCCAACTCCACGGTCCGCGCCATGGACACCGCCGGTGCCGTGAACATCACCTACTACACTGTACCAGGGCAAATGTACGTAAATTATAGTTTTGCACCCCTCAAAGATGAAAAAACAGTGATTTTAGCTAAAATTTCATATGCACCTCCTACGATAATTATGCGCCCACAGGACAAGTTCACCTCTTCTAATTTATTCTAGCTTCGCGACTGTACGAAATGGCAGAATACCAGAGGGCAACGGCACCTGGAGCGGCCTTGGCTCCAGCAGCGGCAACACGTACGTCCTCTCAGAGGAGCACAACCAGTTCGTTGTCACCGGGTGCAACATGCAGGGGATGCTGCTCGGGGACAGCGGCAACGTCATCATCGGCTGCTCCTCGTTCTGCTCCATCAGGGACACCTGGGCAAACCCCGTGGTGAGCACGAGCCGCGCCCCTGGCGACGGAGCGGTGGCCTGCTCCGGCGTCGGCTGTTGCCAGACGCCCATCCCCATCGGCCGCCCTAGCTACACCGTCCAGTTCAAGTCCCTGGACCCCTGGTTCGAGTACTCTGGCAGGCTGCCTACGACGGTGCGCATCGCCGAGCGCGGTTGGTTCGACAGCGTCGCCGCCCAGATGCTGAACGAATCAGCGGTGAACTACACCCAGCTCCAGGCCGTTCCGGTTCCGGTGGTCCTGGAGTGGGTGGTGGCGTCCACCTCGATTTTATCCCTGCTATCGACGAGGACTCTGGCGGACGCCGCCGGCAACTGGTCCTGCCCCGTGGACGCGGCGAGGAGTGCGTGCAAAAGCAGCCACAGCACCTGCCACAACGTCACCGGCAACTACCGAGCCGGCTACGTGTGCCGGTGCCAGGATGGGTACGACGGCAACCCCTACCTTGCCGGTGACGGCGAATGCCAAGGTATATATGCAGGGGCACACTATTGCTTGCAGCAGTACTTACATGTTAACAGTGCCGAAGCTAGAGCAAATTTAGAGGAGATGTACTTGCCTCGTACGTGCATAGACATTCTCATAGAGGGTACAATTATGGTAAAATTTAATCAAACTTATTGTTTTTGTATTTGTATTCTTCTGGGGTTGGGGGTTGTATTTGCACCCCCTTGTACACAATGTACCTTCGCCCCTGCATGTTGTTGGCGTCGTCCTAACATAGCGACATGCCTGTTTGTTAATTTGCTTCAACAGATATCGACGAGTGCGCGCTTCCAGGGAAGTGTTTCGGCGTATGTACAAACATGGACGGTGGGTACAAGTGCCGATGCCCGCGCGGTGCTCGTGGCAACCCCTACAAGGAAGATGGCTGTGTCAAAACTTCTCTTGGTGAGCAGACAACCACTCGATTACCTCTATGACGTATTTCTTACTCTGTTTTAGTATTGAATGAACTCCTTGGTGGTCATTTCCTTTGTTTCCAAACCTACTCCGTACATGTCATAATTAATTAATTCAAAGCCTAATATAAAGTAGTACTCTTACCCGGATAGAAAAATGCTTACTTTCTCAGGGTTAAGTGTTGGCCTCGGAGTTGGTAGTGGAGCAGGTCTTTTGGTCCTGGTTCTTGGTTCAGCCTTTGTGGCTCGTGGGATCAAGAACCGGAGGGCAAGAATGCTGAAGCAGAAGTTCTTCAAGCAGAACCGTGGACATTTATTACAACAACTGGTATCCCAAAACACGGACATCGCTGAGAGAATGATCATCCCCTTGGTAGAACTTGAGAAAGCCACCAATAATTTCGATAATGCTCGCAGGCTTGGTGGAGGAGGACACGGCACCGTGTACAAGGGGATCTTATCGGACCTGCATGTTGTCGCGATTAAAAAATCAAAAGTGGCAATCCAGAGAGAGATCGACGAGTTCATAAATGAGGTAGCTATTCTCTCACAAGTCAATCATCGGAATGTAGTGAGGCTTTTTGGGTGCTGCCTTGAGACAGAAGTGCCACTATTAGTATATGAATTCATTTCAAATGGGACACTTTATGATTATCTTCATATTGAAGGACCAACACAATTGGGATGGGATCACAGACTGAGAATTGCAACAGAAACCGCCAGAGCTCTTGCCTACCTTCACATGGCTGTGTCCTTCCCTATAGTTCATAGGGATGTAAAGTCGCATAACATTCTATTGGATGGCTCTCTAACAGCTAAAGTGTCTGACTTTGGAGCCTCAAGGTGCATTCCACCTAATCAAACAGGGGTTACAACTGCCATCCAAGGAACACTGGGATATCTAGACCCCATGTACTACTACACGGGAAGACTCACTGAGAAGAGCGACGTTTACAGTTTTGGTGTTGTTCTAATAGAGTTGCTCACCAGAAAGAAACCATTTTCATATAGATCACCTGAGAATGATGGCTTAATTGCACAATTCACTTCCTTGCTTACACATGATAACTTGTCTTGTGTACTCGATCCTCAAGTAATGGAGGAGGGAGGCAAAGAAGTCAACGAAGTAGCTGCATTGGCTGCTATATGTGTGAAGCTAAAAGCAGAGGAGCGACCAACCATGAGACAAGTGGAGTTGACCCTTGAAAGCATCCAAGAATCACTGCAACAAGTAAAGCTACATAGTGTTGGTCCGAGCAAATCTAAGGAAGATGTGATGTTTCCAATAGTTGAGGGTAGAAGCACGAAAGAGTCAAGTAGACAGTATAGTCTTGAAGAAGAGTTCTTGTTATCAGCAAGGTATCCTCGTTGATAGCTTCTCACAAAGTCCGATGTAAAAAAGATTGCTATGTTATAGTACATAATTCAAAAGGTTTTGTGATTTCTGATTATTTTGGTAGATAATATCAAACATATTGAATGTATTTGGTGCACATTTATATGTATGTACTCTGTTTGTTTGGAAAACTCAAAATAAGACTTGCACACTCTTAAGCTTATCTAACTTTCATCCCAACGACTTATAGAATTTAGAAAGATAATTTGTAATAAAGATAAAAAATGTCAATAAAACTTTTATCTTCACACTTATTAGTACTTGTGGACGTCTTATGATAATACATGGGTTGGTCTGAGTTGTGTGTTCTGGCACATAGGATGGTACTTTGAGCCCAACAAAGTGATAGTCTAATTTGGGAGCGTGTTTCGGTCTGCGTATGGATAATAAAATTGTACAACATTACAAAGAACTCAGAAAGATTATTATTATAATATTTTGGTTGAATGAACTATAGGAGGAGGATCATTTAACTATATATATTGCATGGGATATGGCCCTCCAAGTTGCCTCTTTGGTTAGTTTGATGAGATAATCTGAATTTGTTTTGTTTGGCACAATATTTATTCGACGGGATTATCTAGTTTTTTTTGGTTGATGATTACCTCTTCGGCTCTTCCTAACATTGAGTGACTTTACCATTTTTTGGTAAGAAAAAAAAATCTACAGCTATGATCCATAAAAAGGTTCAGACTGCGTTCGGTTCGGTTTATAGACTACTCCATGTTCGCAGTTTCAATTTCGGCAATTTCAAAAAAAAATGAAACTGAAATCCGAGTAAAAGATCAAGGGTCTGCTTGTTAAATCATTGATTTGGTAGCCAAAAGTTAGGCAAAAGAATTACCCAAGATTTGGCATGCAAAATGTGAGAAGTCAGTAAGTTTTGGTAGCCAAGCAAATACTCGCCAAAATCTTGTTAAATCATTGATTTGGTAAATTTTGAAAGCGAACAGAGCAGCCCCAAATCGCCAGTTGTGGCCGGCCCCTCATCTCTGGTTTGCGGGCTTCTGCGGCTATGCCCAAGCATCCGCTGCCGGCAGAGCCCAGCCCACACAAGGCAAGATGCATTTCAGATCTCCCTTGTTTTTTTTAATTAATTAATGTATGTATGTATAATTATGTACTTGTTCTGTATCAAAATAACTATCGTAGTTGTTTTCTGATAAATAACTTTGATATATTAATATGGTACGCAAATAATATTATTAGATATGTCGTTGAATTTATTTTCATAATAAATTTACTTGGACATACAAATATTGCACGTATTTTCTATAAATCTAGTTAAAGTTACTAACGACGATTAATTTGGGATGAAGGGAGTACACTACTGTATGGTTGTTATATAGTCTCTTCGACTCTTCTCGTTCGCTCCAGAATACAAAGACTGGCGGACAGGTCCAGATGAGAAAACGTCAAAACGATCTGCAGAAGAAGATTATTCAGGAAATTTATTATTTCAGAAAAAAGGGAAGATGGTCCAACTGAATCACACGCTGAAAGTGCTGAGTTTGAAGCGGCGATGCACCGACACGAGTGACGTGTCTACACCAGCGGGTCGTATCCAAAGCCAGCGTCCCCACCCGCGGACCCGCCCGCGTGCTCTGCCTCTCCTCTGGTGGTTTGCGCGGCGCCCCGGAACATTTATTCCGCGTCGCCTCGTGGCACGCCGCACGGCACCGAGACATCCGCCGGAGATGCACCTCAATCAATAACTGCTAGGACTAGTCAGAGTAATCACTACTCCAAGCACCAGCCCGCCGCTCACCGTCTCCTCTCCTGGCGCATTCATTAATCCCCCTCCCCCTAATCTAATCTCGCCTGCTGCTAATGACTAGCTTGCCCGCTCCCTTCATATATGCCACCAACTCGCTCTGCCAGTACACTCCACTGGTGCTGAAGCAAGCGACCAGAGCCATGGCGACCCTCGCCGCGCTGCTCCTCCTGGTCGCCGCTTCCAATGCCGCCGCGCTGAGCGCCAAGGCCGTGGAGTACCACAGCTTCGTAGCCACCCCGCTCTCGCCCCACGCGTACACCGCTCCGGCTGCGGACGCGGACGAGGATGTCTTCGGCGGCAGCCTTGCCGTCGCGGAGGAGGCGCAGCAGCCGCCGCCGCGTCGGCCGTGCACTTCCGCGTGGTCCACCGGGACACCTTCGCGGTGAACGCCACCCCGGCCGAGCTGCTCAAGCACCGCCTGCAGCAGGACAAGCGTAGGGCGGCGCGGATCTCGAAGGCGGCGGCCGCCGGTGGCGCCGCGGCCAACGGGACAAGGAGCGGCGGCGCCGGTGTCGCGGCGCCGGTGGTTTCGGGGCTCGCGCAGGGAGCGGGGAGTACTTCACCAAGATCGGGGTGGGCACGCCCGCCACGCCGGCGCTCATGGTGCTGGACACCGGCAGCGACGTGGTCTGGCTGCAGTGTGCGCCGTGCCGGACGTGCTACGACCAGTCGGGCCCGGTGTTCGACTCGCGGCGCTCCAGCTCGTACGGCGCCGTCGACTGCGCCGCGCCGCTGTGCCGCAGGCTGGACTCGGGGGGATGCGACCTGCGCCGCAGGGCGTGCCTGTACCAGGTGGCCTACGGCGACGGCTCCGTGACGGCGGGCGACTTCGCAACCGAGACGCTCACCTTCGCGGGGGGTGCTCGCGTGGCGCGCGTCGCGCTCGGGTGTGGCCACGACAACGAGGGCCTGTTCGTGGCCGCGGCGGGGCTGCTGGGTCTGGGCCGCGGCAGCCTGTCGTTCCCGACCCAGATCTCCCGCCGCTACGGCCGGAGCTTCTCCTACTGCCTCGTCGACCGCACCTCGTCCTCGTCGTCGTCGTCGTCCAGCGCTGCGTCGGGCTCCCGCTCCTCCACCGTCACCTTCGGCCCGGGCTCCGCCGCGTCGGCGTCCTTCACCCCGATGGTCCGCAACCCGCGCATGGAGACGTTCTACTACGTGCAGCTCGTGGGCATCAGCGTGGGCGGCGCGCGCGTCCCCGGCGTGGCCGAGTCCGACCTCCGCCTGGACCCGTCCACGGGCCGCGGCGGCGTCATCGTGGACTCGGGCACCTCGGTCACTCGCCTCGCTCGCCCGTCCTACTCCGCGCTCCGCGACGCGTTCCGCGCCGCCGCGGCGGGGCTCCGCCTCTCCCCCGGCGGGTTCTCCCTGTTCGACACGTGCTACGACCTGGGCGGGCGCAAGGTGGTGAAGGTGCCCACCGTGTCGATGCACTTCGCGGGCGGCGCCGAGGCGGCGCTGCCCCCCGAGAACTACCTCATCCCCGTGGACTCCAGGGGCACCTTCTGCTTCGCGTTCGCGGGCACCGACGGCGGGGTGTCCATCATCGGCAACATCCAGCAGCAGGGGTTCCGCGTGGTGTTCGACGGCGACGGCCAGCGCGTCGGGTTCGCGCCCAAGGGCTGCTAAAGTGCTAAACGCCCTGAGCCGCTGTCAGAGAGGGCGAGAGAGAGGAAGCGAGGTTAGCGAGCAGCGCGGTTAATTAATTAGCGAGTGATTAGCGGGTAAAGAAGTGAGCCAGCCGCCTTGTTAGTCATAATTAATGGAGGGTGGTGACTGGTGGGTTAGCTTTGCTTGGCCTTGGATGCTGTAAAAAAAGGCAGGCACTGGGTCGCAGTGCTCAGAGTTTGTCATCTGACAGGTTGATGCGCGAGGAGGATATCAGGATAAGGCGGTTGGTGGATGAAGGCTGTAAAAGGCCCTGTTAAAGTGTTTGGGTTAAGTAAAAAAATGGTGCTTAATGTATTGTTCTTGCTGTGTGTTGAGTTAGAAATGTTGGCTTTGTGCTGGTCACGCCCACGCTGCGTGGTTAAAAACTCATGTTCGCGTACGAGGTTTGGAGCTACGCGGGCAGCGAGCGAGAGAGCGGGTAGATGGATGCACAGCAACAGCAAGTGCACAGCTTGTCACTTGGAAGTTTTCTAACGGTCCAGTGAGGTGAAGATACTAGTATTTCCCTTTGCCAGTGCGGGGCAGCACTGCACTGCAGGCCTGGACTGGATCTGGCCCCCGCTGCCTTCTTCCCGTTCTCACCTCTCTCGTGGACCGTCATGTCTTGCCGCTTGCGTGAGAAAGGAAAAATTTTTAACACTTTTTTTAAACTATTTTCAATCACACTTTTTTTTTATTTTTAAATCTAACATTTTTAGCCGGGTCTATTACCACGACGCGGCCAAACAACGCTGTCGCGTTATGCATGGCGGCACGGCAACGTCGATGACGTGGTAGGCGCTGCCCGCACATCTTGGCGCGGCAGTGTCGCGCCATCGCCCACGGCGTGGCAGGGCCAACTTAATGTCGCGCCGCGAGCCTCCCTCCCTCTCTCTGCCTTACGTCGAACAGAGGTGAGGGCGCCCGCGCTGACCCCTCCTGCCTCACAGAAGCCTGCCGCCTCCCGACCCTCCCTTCCCCAAGCTTCTCCTCGGCCTTGGTCACGGTAACGATGCTCTTATTTGTCGTTTGAACGGTGGATTCAAAGATTATGAATGGTAGCTAAGGTTTGGAGGATAAGTATATTTGGGCTAGGGTTTGAAGGAAAATATTAGTTCGATTTTGTCATTATTAAGGTTAATTAGTTAGTTAGAAGCATGTTACCATGTTTAGTGTAAGGTATTATTTTAGTTGTAATGCAAATGGTTCTCCTTTACATTAATTTGCGATGTTTTGATTGATGTTAAATTACAACCGTTTTATTAGATGCAAGACATGTATCGGGAGTAGTTGTGGCAAAAACGGGGTCGTCCTAGAGAATTGTACCCCGACGTGTCCAGCAAAGATGCCCCCGTCCCTCCTGATCTCCCTATCCCTAACTGTGACCGTGGTCGTCCGGTCGACGTGTTTCAATCAAGACATCTGGACACAGTGGCTTGTTGCTTCTACATATGCAGTCGTTTTAATGTAAGTAATTCTTTTTGTATGTTTTTTCTTCATTTGTGTTACTAGGTTACTAATATTTTGTTGGAATCTTATTGTGTAGGCCCATGAGAGATGCTTTTTCTTTCAGTGGATCGACGGTGCAGGCAAGTTTGACTCAAGGTACCTCCTTTTCGATGATTGTTGGAGAGGGAGATATCCATGTGAGCACTTCGAGCGGTGGGTTCCACCTCCCCGTAACCCTCCGCCAATGACGGCTAAGGAGAAGCACTTAGTCGTAGTTAAACGATTCGAGTAACCTCCTCTGTGCTATTGCGGAGATCGAGCTGTGATAAACCCTAAGAATACGTTGGAGTTTGTGTGTCCAAACAAGCATGAAGTAAGTGGACAATGTATCTATTGAAATATTGAGCTATAGGTGTTCATGTACTAATGTCACCTCTTTTAGGTGTTTGCATTTGCGAAGTGTCGTTTCAAGGAGTGGCTCTATGGTCCTAAGAATCAATGGCCGGAGCCATCAAAGGAAAAGAAAAAGGAAAATAAGAAAGAAAGGGTAATTTTCAAAGCACCACCTATCGCCTAGTCCCTTCGGAGCTTGGAATAGGCCATTATTACGGCCATATGGTTGACTATGATGAGGTTGGTTATTGTTGTGGAAAACATGAAATCATATTTTTTTTCTTTTGCTAAGACTTATGATCTAATTTTTTGTTTCAACATAGCACTAGGAAATGCAAGTGGGAATCTTATGATGGTCAAGCTAGGTTCTTGGATGAGTTGAAGGGGAGGCAAGTAATTGCACGGAAGAGGAAATATGGACCTGACTACGTCGACCTATTCGTTAAACAGCAGAAGAAGGACATGAATGAGTTTGCTAGACACAGCGGTATTCGTAACCCGATCGGTGTTAGGCTTGACAAATGGGGTTTGGAGAGACGGAGGGCGTTAGAGGAGCAGAGGGCAAGAAAGGCTACAATGGAGGAGGAAAGAGTACAGATACAGGTCTTGAACAACCATGTTGCTGTATTGTGTGCAAGTGAGTCATTGGAAGCCTTGTTATTTTCGTTGCCTGCTTTTATATGTAATATAATCGCGTTGCTAACTTGTTGCATTTTATACATGAAGGGATTGGATGCAGCGAGGAGCAAGCCACAGAGGTGGCCCGTGTAAGGTATGTGGAAAAGAAGTTACATGAGCACAAAACGCGAGCTGATCGTAGCGTTCTATCTCCGATTGTGTTGGACAATGAGGGGAACAAGGATGAGGATGACACTGCCAGGTTGAGCGATCTCATCGCTCTAGCAGAGGCAGGCTTACAGGCGGAGAAGGACAAGGACGACACTGGAAGACCGAGCGAGCTCATCGCTCTAGCAGAGGCGGGCTTGCAGGCGGAGGAGGATGAGGACGCGTTCTTCTCTCAAGCCACAGAGGCTGTAGATAAAGCGGAGGCCGCTTACTACAGGCGACAGGCAGATTAGGGCAATGCAGGTGAGCCTAGCCACATGAACGAGGCGGAGGAGAACGCGTTCTTGTCTCAGACTGTAGATGAAGCGGAGGTCGTTTACTACAGGCGACAGGCAGATCAAGGCAATACAGGTGAGCCTAGCCACAGCAACGAGGTTGTGGTAGAGGATTGATACTCGGACGACGAGTTGCTTACTCAATATGTTTCTGACTGAGGATTTCCATGCTTTAGTAATGAACAATGTTGTATTATACTAGAACTTTCATTCTGATGTCTTGTGTTTTATTTGAACTACTAATGTATTGTACCCATGTAACGAATATTGTACCCATGTAACTTTCGTTGTGTTGTCATTCGCCACAAAAAAAATGTGGTGTAAAGGTGTTCCTTGTTGAACCTTACATAGCTACTCCCTCCGTCCTTGAAAATAAGGCATGCACGTATTTTAAGATTCAAAATTTATTATGTTTGACTAATAATTAGCCTAATTATATCCAAAGTTTGAATTATGATAGTAGTTAACTTATATTTGTATTTAGGAATAATTTCTAATGATTAAACTTTTATTCGTACAAATTATATAATATAGGAGAAAATATAGGTCAAAATATATTCTTGAAGACCGCACCAAGTCGTATAAGCTTTGTTTTTATAGAATATGTTCTTTGTTAAAAAGAAACGATGACTTGTAGTTACTTATTAGCTGCGGCTTTGTACCAGCTTCTGCTGTGCCATGGAAGACGGCGCGTCAAGGCTGACACACCATGGGCTTCAAACCGCTTTGTCGATACATAGTTGATGCAGTTGCACCTGGCTTGACATAGTTTAAACAAATTTGGACATGAGGCAACTTAGTGGCCCAAGTTCATCGATGAATACATAAAGTCAACGGATTTGCACATGATAAGCTTCGTTTGACATAAGTTCGACATGATTCGTTCAACATGATTTGAATACATACGTTCATCGATACATTAAGTTAACGACTTAATTAAGGTTACAAGTTGGTCCAGAGGTCTTGAACCACAAGTGCAACTAGTACATAATTTGGGTTACTCCAAAATAAGGCAAAGGCATGAATGATGAACGTCTTGCTGAAATGATCCTTCAACATCTTGAGCACCTGAAGGCCTTGTTGTCGGTATACCTACATTATCATCACAAGGTTAAGTAAGGAGACAAGACATCAAGTTTTGCAAATTAGGAAACTTATAAAAAACATCGACTATGCTAACCTAGACCCTACATCCCAGGAGTGAACGGCTACCTCAGACGCCTCGGTCTCTTCAGATTTGTAGGAAATACAATAGGAGTGTACCCAACATCCGTGCCGGCCGAGTTATGTATTGTCGGTGCAATCACTGTTGTAACGTCATTGGGACCCTACAAGTATAAGATAGGCAAGATTAGTTACAATCTTTAGCATTGTTAGTTCATACATTGTAGGATCTCTGGTTGGCCTAGAGGGGGCTGAATAGGCCTGTCAAAACAAACACTCAAACTTTTATCAAATTCACCCTGCGGCACTGTCGCTCTAGAGGGCAGCACTGCGGGGCCAGATCAGCGGCACTGCCATACCTGCAAACAACTTCGAGTCACAGTTTAAAATCCATGAATAAAAACTTAGATCAGAGAAATTTCCTAGCTTACTGCAGGTCTGACAATCATAGATCAAGAACTATAAGTAGTAGGAACACCACACACAAGTAGATCGACTAGAAACCCTAGAAATCACCTCAACCATAATATGTCATGCAAGTAATGTAAATCAAGCACAAGTGACACAATGATTTATCTCATGGTTTGGCTTGCCACCAAGGCTTGCCTACCTCAACGTTGTTGAGGCTAGCCACTAAGGCTTAGGGCTTTCCAATCCTTCCTCGTTCTCAAGTCAAGAGACTTAACTCTTGAGATGAGGGGTGAGTTTACTAGCTTCAAGAGATGGTTACAAACCTCTCGGGGCTGCCACATAAGTTGGCAAGCTCCACGGGCGACGCTCTAGCCGGCTAGGAGCCAAGCTCTAAGAGTAACAAACACAACCGTCGGTCAAAACGTGAACCAAGTGCTCTTT